TAAACAATAAACGCGTTTTGTGGCTCTTTAATGTGTTGTGACAGATGTAGAGCATCAGTTAAAGCTTCTCGTGATCCGATCATCTCTTCCTTCTAGTTTATTTATAGCATCAAATAAACATGAATGAACATAAGGAATGTTGTTTTAACCGCAGAAAGGCGTCAGTACACTCCTTTTTTCAAGTTCAAATCCTGCTTTGTCGGACAAAATGGCGGATGGCGAAGTATGATTGGTCAGATCACCTGTCAATCAAGCTCCCTGCGAAGGGTCACTTGAATGAAATGACGAGTAACTCAGCTTTAGTTGTATAGAAACCATGACACAGGTGATTAGCTTTAGACATCAACTCTCGCTTTAATCAAATATCTGTCCCAAAGGATCAGACTGGCTCTGTGGCCCTAATCAGATAAAAGACCCATCAAAGAAAGTACACGTCTTTAATCGCCAATGTCTGAAGAAACTACAGCGAGACAAACACTCAGAGAAAAGCATGGCCTGATCCAACAGGCTAAGATGAGGAGACCAAGAAACACACACATTCAAAAGTTACTGTTCATTTTAAAATATATTAAAATATAAAACATATATGTACAGTGGTATGAATAAGTTTTGGCACCCATGCTAAAGTTGCCTAAAAAGAGGAATAAAAAATCATCTTTTGGATGTTGATCTTAATGCCTTAATTAGAAAAATGAGGAAAAGTCCAACCTTTAAGGACACCAATTTTCTTTGTGAATGAATAATGTATCATAAATAAATAAATGTTTTTCCTTAAAATACAGGGTGCATAAGTCAGGGCACCCCTATGTTAAATTCCCATAGAGTCAGGCAGATTTTTATTTTTAAAAGCCAGTTATTTCATGGATCCAGGATAATATGCATCCTGATAAAGTTCCCTTGGCCTTTGGGATTAAAATATCCCCACATCATCACACACCTTCCACCACACCTAGAGATTGGCATGGGGTACTTTCCATAAGATCATCTTTCAATGCAAATCAAACCTATTAGGCTATTAGGCTAACTGAAGTAAAACCATGCCAATCTCTAGGTGTGTTGGAAGGTGTGTGATGATGTGGGGATATTTTAACTCCAAAGGCCAAGGGAACTTTATCAGGTACTTTATCACTTTATACAACTTTATGCACCCTGTATTTTAAGGAAAAACATTTATTTATTTATGATGCATTATTCATTCACAAAGAAAATTGGTGTCCTTAAAGGTTGGACTTTTCTTCATTTTTCTAATTAAGGCATTGAGATCAATATCCAAAAGATGATTTTTTATTCCTCTTTTTAGGCAACTTTAGCACCGGTGCCAAAACGTATTCATACCACTGTATGTAACAGTATTACTGTATTTTTAAGAGACTTCTTTTCAAAACATTCTTACTACACAAACTTTTGAGCAGAAGTGTATAAAAACATCACTTATCACTTAAATAGATGAAAATTTAAAGGTAATTTATATAAAAAGGTAACATTTATTTAAGATTGGCATGATCTGTTATTTTTTCTTGATTTATGTTTTCTGTATATATTCCAATAACAATATGACTGACCATAGGTAATGCAAAGTATAAAATGCTTTAATATAACATTTGACACATTTTAATAAACAGTTGCTTTTCTTGTCATTTTATGAGATTCACTTATATCGATTATAAATAGGCAGGGCATAATAAAAGCATTTAGAATTAAAGTATGATTCCTTTCATTTATATTTCTTTTTGATAATATCAGTGTCATGACCTGATAAAAGTGACTTCACATGAAAGACGTTTAAAAAAAATTAAACATTCAAATAATTTTTTAAGACATTAAAAAAATACACATTTGTGCACAGACAAAGTGAAAACACAGCAACAAACAAACACAGCACTGTTCATTTAAAGTTTTCATATATGCTACATTCATGTTATTCTCTTATGTATCTGTATTTGCTGTAATCTGTACATTACTATTGCTGCAATAAACATCTGAATAAAACATAAGTACGCTTTTTATTAATCATATGTTGCAACAGAAATTTTAAATAGCAAAATGGCTTTCACACTTTCCATTTACTTCCATGATACTTTAAAAATCAAGTATTTTTATTAATTTAGTCTTTAAAATTCGATCTTGCAAAAAAAAATAAAAAAAATACAGCATTTGTTTACAACTAACGTAAACGTTAAACAACTATTATCTCAAACTTTTGCAATTACCTTTTTCTGGTAATCTTTAGACTTAAATCCGACATTAAAAAAGAAAGTACAATCAGTAAGTCCCGTCAAGTCAGTTTCACAGTGTGTGATTCATCCTGCTTACAGAATAGTCAATCAAACATTAAAAGTTGTGCAGTGCAAATATCGGCAAAACGTTCAAGACATAAACACTTGAACGTTTTGGACAAGCTATGATATACCACTGTCCTACACTTTCATTGAAATGACATCTACAAATCAAAAAACACTTTTAAAAAGGGAATGGGTTTTTGGCAAGAATGCTAAAAAGCACATGCTAAATGAACTGTACCTTATTTCATGCTTCATTATCTTATATAACTGGCATATTCCTCATTTATAAACCTAAACAGTTATCAGTATTGCTTATCCACCATATAATTTTTTGGCTTCATGCATCTGTTAAAAATGACACATAATACACTTTTTGATATTCCCAAGTTAAGATTTCCCTTATTTGCTTTGGCTCTTTTATTTTATTATTATTATTATTTTGAATATATATAAAGTTAGAGTTATTATGAAGCAAACAGTGCAATGCACTTGTCATCCTCCAATAATTCACAGACACTGGAATTTTGGTTATTTTGCATTTGTCACTATTGCTATATTGCATGTTGTCACATTAACAGGCACAAATCATTTTATCGCATAAACAAGCAAATTAGTATTTTATAGTAAAAAACAAGTATAAAAACTTATATTCAGCATACAGTTCCAAACAATTACCAGGTGCATGATTTTTAGTAAGACTTTTAAAATGTGGATTCAACAGTATCTGCAAAGGTGGCACACTTTTATTGTAAAAGCATGGGCTCGATCCATAAAACATGAGCTAATCATTCATGATTCATTAAATAAATCCTTCATAAACTTTCACATTTAATTGAATGCAATAATTCTACTCCAAAATGTGGTTTAACACAGAAATTCTTACTGCTCTTGTTTATAAATGGGCCCATTGTGCAAATTATGTATGATTGGACAGATGTGAGAAAAAGACAGCAGTTGTACATTTCACAGATACAAATAATGATTTGGATGACCATACAAAAATACCATAAAGAAAAGTTGACAACTGATTTTATAGTGGCATACTGTATTCTGTTATATTCTGTATTCTGTGTTGATTTTCAAGTTCAAGTGTGTAATTCTTGTTCCAACAAACAGAAGCAAAAGTAATGAGCCATTGTGGCGTTACATCATATGATTGCTGTCCACTAGGTTATGGCCCAGACAAAAGAAGAAAATATATTAACAACGAAAAATTACACTCTTTAAGTTTAAAGGTGAAGTATGTATATTTCTCAACGCCAGTGACACCTAGTTGAATTTCAAAAATAAAGCATTTCTTCCCCATTTGTGTGTTGCGCCTCCTCCAATTCATCACCTTTCATTTTAGATCACCATCCAACATTTTAGAAATACTTTTAGCTGCTACAGTAGCCACGCCCCAACTCTCAGTCTGCTACGGTAGCCACGCCCCAAACTCTCAGTCTGCTACGGTAGCCACACCCCAACTCTCAGTCTGCTACAGTAGCCACGCCCCAAACTCTCAGTCTGCTGCAGTAGCGACGCCCCAAACTCTCAGTCTGCTACAGTAGCCACTCCCCAAACTCTCAGTCTGCTACAGTAGCCACGCCCCAAATTCTCAGTCTGCTACAGTAGCCACGCCCCAAACTCTCAGTCTGCTACAGTAGCCACTCCCCAAATTCTCAGTCTGCTACAGTAGCCACGCCCCAAACTCTCAGTCTGCTACAGTAGCCACTCCCCAAACTCTCAGTCTGCTACAGTAGCCACGCCCCAAACTCTCAGTCTGCTACAGTAGCCACTCCCCAAACTCTCAGTCTGCTACAGTAGCCACTCCCCAAACTCTCAGTCTGCTACAGTAGCCACGCCCCAAACTCTCAGTCTGCTACAGTAGCCACTCCCCAAACTCTCAGTCTGCTACAGTAGCCACGCCCCAAATTCTCAGTCTGCTACAGTAGCCACGCCCCAAACTCTCAGTCTGCTACAGTAGCCACTCCCCAAATTCTCAGTCTGCTACAGTAGCCACGCCCCAAACTCTCAGTCTGCTACAGTAGCCACTCCCCAAACTCTCAGTCTGCTACAGTAGCCACGCCCCAAACTCTCAGTCTGCTACAGTAGCCACGCCCCAAACTCTCAGTCTGCTACAGTAGCCACTCCCCAAACTCTCAGTCTGCTACAGTAGCCACGCCCCAACTCTCAGTCTACTACTTCTAGCCACGCCCCCAACTCTCAGTTTGCTACTTCAAGCCACACCCCAAACTCTCAGTCTGCTACAGTAGCCACGCCCCAACTCTCAGTCTAGTACTTCTAGCCACGCCCCCAACTCTCAGTCTGCTACAGATCAATATTATTGATCTGTGTTGTATTACTTTCATGTTATCACTGTGAAGCTGCTTTGATACAATCTGTATTGTGAAAAGCGCTATATAAATAAGTGTGACTTGACTTGACTTACAGTAGCCACGCCCCAACTCTCATTGCCACATTAGTCACGCCCCAACTCTCAGTCTGCTACTTCTAGCCACGCCCCAAACTCTCAGTCTGCTACAATAGCCACGCCCCAAACTCTCAGTCTGCCACATTAGCCACGCCCCAACTCTCAGTCTGCTACTTTAGCCACAACTCTCAGCTTTAATCAAAAATATCTTAATTTTTTTTTTCGAACATGAACGAAAGTCTTGGGGTTGGAACAACATGAGGGTGAGTAATTACCGCCAGAATTTTCATTTTTGGGTGAACTAACCCTTTAAATGTTTACACTTTTTGGAAACCCATGAATGGCATTCTAATAGCAGTCCATAAACTGGGTTAAGACTAAGAGAATGTATTTTAACATAACAAATCTTACATACTTCACCTTTAAAGTAAAATACTAATTGAGGTCAGTTCGGCTTTGACTAGAACAGGATCAAACCGTCTTCAGACATGAAACACATTAGGAGAACATATCATCCTTTTCTGAATCTGGAGAGTCCGGCCTTGATATGTCAAACAAGTTCAAAGTTCCTGAGGTCTTTCTGTCTTTGAGAAGTCGGAGCATCTCTGCGAGCTGTGCTTCGAGTGCGCTCATTCTGCGGCTGAGGGAGCTGATGTCTCCTCGCAGCTCCTGCTTCAGCTCCGTAAAACAGGCCTGAAGACTTTGTTCGGGAATGGAGTGGAATGCCCGTTTCCCCTCAGGCTGAATGGGGCTCCGTTCCTGAGGGGTTTGAGCACTACCGTCACCCATATTGTCGAGTCGCAGGTCACTCTTGGTGATGCCGCTATCGCACGAGTCCGTCTTCTTGAGGGGCAGTTCATTTTGAGACTTAGTCCTGTCTGGTAGCATCTCCATGGACTCGGCTTTGGACACGGGACACCAGGCGAGATCAGACTTGGCAGTGGCTTCTTTAAACCGACCCCAGCCTTTGCTTTTGGGTGGTTCTGCGGACTTATTTCTTGTATAGTTTCCATTGGAGGCCACGGGAGCGTAAACTTTTGCTCGACATGACGAGGATGATGAGGCGGGGGAAGACGTAACCGGAGTGGCTGGACTTTCAGTGACCGTGATGACGCTGGTTGGTGACTTGATCTCGAGCACCATTGTCTCCGCTCTGCCTTTCTCGAGATCCGGTTCTCCCTGACTTGCTTGCTCCGCCGCCAGACGGGCCTCTCTCTGCTGGCGGAACCGCTGGAAGAGACGGCGCACAGGATGATCTGGAGGTAGATTCAGAGGGGCTTCATTCTTCCTCCGCAGCATCTCCTCTTCCTCCTGTTTGACGTCACTTATTTTACGGAAAACGATCTATATGATTCAAACAAGAGAGGACATGTATAAACAAGAATGAACAGTTTATTAGTAAGGGACAATGTACATCCGAGTACCCGACACGAAGCGGAGAGGTCTTGCATTGGCCTGAAGGGGTTTATTCTGAGATAACAACCGGCTGGATGTACATCATCCTGCTTATTACAAGGCTACTTGCTACGTAAGTGAATAATTGGACAAAAAATATTGATCTGAGTCTAAATATTTTATTAGGTCTTTGAAACGCAAAACCTTGCAGAGAGTGCGGCAAGTTCAAACTACATTTAAAGGGGTGATGAACTGAAATCAAATTTTCCTTGAGCTTATATTATAAGAATATCCTGTAAGTCCTTGTTAGTCCAATAAAAGCTTTTATTGACACCAGCCTCAGCAAACGACTCGTTTTTCAAAATGGGGAACTATGATGTCAAAGAGGATAAAACACCACCGCCGCAGAAGAAGATTTAGCCCCGCCCACTGATTCGCGCATTACACGCATAGCTAAATAACATAGATTCCTACCTCGTGATGACAAACCGGATCGATCTAACGAGCGATACAGAATATTGTGCAGCGCCTGGTTGTGGAAGACAGTCGCTGCATAAGCTTCCTCTGGATTCCAATAGGACTGCATGGATAAACTTTATTTTTAATGACGTTCCAGCTGATGAGGGTAAAACATTGTCCGTCTGTTCGCTCAATTTCACTGAGGATTGTTTTGTAAACAAGACTGGATTTGCAGACCGATTAAGAGTAAAGAACGGTGCCGTGCCGTCTTGGATCTGACAGGAATGGTGCAACACACGGACTCTGGGTCGAACATGTATGGGCGAATCATTCCGGTCGCCATTTTACAACATTGGACGTTTTCAGAACAATTTCCCCCAAGTGCACCGACAGGTGAGTCGAAATTCATTATAATATGCAAAACTGTTATCCACTCACAGCAGTGGGCGTTTACTTCCAAGTCTTCAGTGCGAGACGGCCATTAAAACCGAGTGTTTTTCAGATAGGCTCAAAACTAGGGTAGAAAATTGCCTATTACTTATTCATTTTGATGTTTTTGAATGCAAAGTGACCTCAGACAACAATATAATAAAATTTAAAAAGCCAGTTCATGATCCCTTTAAGGGGCACGGTTTACAATCATACCACTTATTACACAGAATCTCGCAATAATTATGGGGATAAGAGATATTGATTTCAGATTAAACAGGTTTTAAAATCGTACCTGTTTGTTATCCTATAATCCAACACTGTACAAAAAAATTGTCACAAAATGGCAGCAGCCGCATTTGTGTGAAACGAGCGAGCGAGGCCGAATTAAAAATCTGTGCACAAAATTTTTATTCAACTAAGTTTTATTATTTTATTAGCTCACCAAAAGCAAAACTTCCACAAAGAAAACCCTTTATTAGCAAGCGTATAGCATTTTCAGAGTTTTTTTTATAGAGGAATTTGTGAAGAGTGCCTTATGTGAAGAACAGACCAAAAGTCATTACTTATTAAAAAAACATACATCATGGCACTTTCAATCATGGCATTCAGACACATTCAAACTGACTCTCAAGTAAGATAATAATGTCCAGCATCATCTGATGGCGATCATGACGTGATGCGCTTCAATGTGTTGATTGCAACATGAAGGACAATAAAAATTAGCAATGCATCATTGAGTCATAAATGTTCACAGCCCCTGGTCACTGTGTGCTTTCATTGCATCTATCTGGACTCTTGACGCTTGAGCACCTCGAACGATGAGAAGCGAGTCACATGATTCATTTTAAAGTGTTTGCTAGAAGGGTTAGTCACTGCTATTTTTAGCTTCATGGTTAAAGCATATGTACAACAACCAGCACAATAAAATGTTGCCAGATTCATCTGTGTTGGATAAAACTAAATGCAACTTAATACTCTGCTTTTCAAAGCTTCAAATCAATTGAACCAATTGCTTCACAAAACGATCCACTGTTTCGAAGCGGTCAAAACTGTGTAAATTTAACAAAAACTCAGAGCAAACATTTAACAAAAACTCAGAGCAAACCCCTTGCAAATGTTTTATTAAAAATGTAATTAACTACCATCATCTACCATTAAGAAACTGTACTCTGTATATGTATTCTTTTATACGTTATGGATGGGTCAGCTAAACAGAGACTACTGACAACTATTATTCCTTTTAATTATACAAATGCCTCATTAAAACATCTACAAATGTATAAAATTCATCAGAGATCAGGAAATAGACACTTAAAGGGTTAGTTCACCCAAAAATGAAAATTAAGTCATTAATTACTCACCCCCATGCTGTACCAACCCCGTAAGACCTTCGTTCATCTTCGGAACACAAATAAAGATATTTTTGATTGAATCTGAGGGCTGGATCAGTCCTACATAGACAGCCTGAGGGACTGCCTCTTGACGGCCCAGAAAGTCATTAAAAGAAAAGGTTTAAATATTCCATGTGCCTACAGTGGCTCAACTATAACTTTATCAAGTGACGAGACTACTTTTTGTGCGAAAAAAACAACGTAAATAACGACTTTATTCGACTTTCCATTACTTCCTTATGGGCGCATGCACGAGAACTGAGACGAGACCGTTCTTCTTCGACTACTTTTTGTTACCGGCTGCTCACCGCTTAGGAGTTTTACCGCCCCCTACCGTATAAGATGACGTACTGATATAGCCGGAGGCGCAAAACGTTCTGTTTACAAGCAGTACGTCATCTTATACGGTAGGGGGCGGTAAAACTCCTAAGCGGTGAGCAGCCGGTAACAAAAAGTAGTCGAAGAAGAACGGTCTCGTCTCAGTTCTCGTGCATGCGCCCATAAGGAAGTAATGGAAAGTCGAATAAAGTCGTTATTTACGTTGTTTTTTTCGCACAAAAAGTAGTCTCGTCGCTTGATAAAGTTATAGTTGAGCCACTGTAGGCACATGGAATATTTAAACCTTTTCTTTTAATGACTTTCTGGGCCGTCAAGAGGCAGTCCCTCAGGCTGTCTATGTAGGACTGATCCAGCCCTCAGATTCAATCAAAAATATCTTTATTTGTGTTCCGAAGATGAACGAAGGTCTTACGGGGTTGGTACAGCATGGGGGTGAGTAATTAATGACTTAATTTTCATTTTTGGGTGAACTAACCCTTTAAGGGGGTCGCACACCAGACGAGAAGCTCAGCGCTGCGTCGCGCAGTGCTATGTCTTTAAAATTCAAACACATTATTCTCTATGAGCTTACACACACCGGCGGCGGCATACTGCGTCTGTCTGTGGCGCCAAGCTACAGCTCACAACCTTGTTCAAAACCCTGCCGCACCACAGAGCGCCATTTTCATAGTTTTATATTAAATTTACATTTATTTGTCTCAAATCGTCATTAATGTACATGGCTTCACACTGTGCTGTTTTCACTCGGGTTAGCTAAACGCTAGCTAAATAAATACTATTGTATTTTGTAACATAGTTGCCTAGACAACGGATAACATTACAACAAAACAACAGATTTAACGTGATAGACACTTTTACACCTCTTGGGTCCAGCTCAGCTTGCCTTCAGTGGAAGTCTGTTACAGATTTATATGTTGCTTGCAATGTTTAAAATGACTTGTTGATCTTATCATGATGTCTATGATTGAATCTTACAAAACTCAAGGTCACATTTTCACCCCAGGACCAAATAAAAAAAGGCACCAACCAGGAGGTACCAACTGCCCAATGGGAACCACCCAGATCTTGGGGTTTCAACACGAGATCCTTATCCAGAATCATGTCTTACTTGGTGAAACCTCCGTGTCCTCCTTCAAAAACGGAGGGAATCACATCTCAGTCTACATCCAAGACAAATTTATCTGGGTCTGCAATGTGCCTTCAGCTTTTAAAAGAGATGGTAATTTTCCAAGTCAACATGAAAGTGGGCGAGGACTATAATACCCTGCAGATATTTCATGCTGTGTTCATATCAAATGGTGGACAACAGCTTTCCATACCCTGGGAGAATGATCTCACGTGATTTTACTTAATTATGAATGAACCTGGAGGCGGAATGAAAGCAAGATCCCTGTATTACTGCTATCTTCTTATGACTCATAAATGTGATGTGATAAGATTCATGACATGTTCACAATTAATAGTATTCTCTGATTATTATTTGATTATTCCTGCTTAGTTGATTTTCGAAATTAAGTATTAAAGACTTTTAAGGTATTAAAGGGTTAGTTCAACCAAAAATGAAAACTGTCAGTATTTACTCACCCTCATGTTGTTCCAACCCCGTAAGACCAACATTCATCTTCTGAACACGAATTAAGACATTTTTGATGAAATCTGAGAGCTGGATCACTCCTCCATAGGCTTTTAAATGATTTCAACTTGCAGGCCTCGAAAAGTTATTAAAGACATCGTTAAAATAGTCCAAGTGACTACAATCTTAAGTTTATCAAGCGTCGAGAATACTTTTTGTGCACAAAAAAAACAAACAAAAATAACGAATTTATTTCAACAATTTAAGATAATTACACATTTGTAAAAGTATGCCATTTTGGGCCATCCCCAGAGGGTTAACTGACTAGAGGCCCAAAGAGAAAGATATGAATAGTTGAAATAAAGTCGTTATTTATGTTTGTTTTTGCGCACAAAAGGTATTCTCAATGCTTGATAAAGTTAAGATTGAGCCACTGTAGTCACTTGGACTATTTTAACGATGTCTTTAATAACTTTCAATCCCTCAAGAAGCCTATGGACTAGTATGCAGGAGTGATCCAGCTCTCAGATTTAATCAAAAATATCTTAATTCATGTTAAGAAGATGAACGAAGGTCTTACAGGGTTGGAACAACATGAGGGAGAGTAAATACTGACAGAATTTTCATTTTTGGGTGAACTATCCCTTTACGTAAGTTTAGTTTGTCTTGTTTAGATTAGATTGATTACTGAAGGAATTGGAGTCAAGTCACCTAGACCATTTCACAAGATGTAAACAACACTGGTCCAGAAGCAC